ACGGGAGGGCAATGATGAGCCACGTGAGGTTGAGCGCCGCTGGAACGTCGCGCAAGCCGACAACCTCAGCCGTGACAGGTGCGACAGTGGCCCAATATGTGCCTCCAACGGCGCCTCCAACAACGGTGAACAATAGCAACACGCCCAGGTTTTTGGCGGGGACCCAAATGGCAAATACGAAGGTCGCTGCCATAAACGTCGTCAAGCAGGCCATGTTGATACGACCCGTCCTGTCACTGAAATAGCCGATGAAAGGGCGACCCAAGCCTTGGCCCAAGTTGAATATGGCGCTTGCTAGCGAGGCATGGGAAGAAGATAGTCCGATGCTGTTGGCGTAGTTTGCCAGGCTGAATATGAGCACGACGTAGCCAAGCATGCTGAACCACCCGTAACCGAGGAGAAGAATGTATTCCGTTCGCTTGAAAAGAGCGGTGTCGAACGGCGCCTGGCGGGAGCCGATAATCTTGTTGCGATCTTTTATTAAGATGGTGCAGATGACGTTTACCACAAAAACGATAATACCGAGAATCCTGTAGGCCCATTGGACGCCTAGGTTTTCAATCATGGCTCCGCTGGCGAGAGAGTAGACCAGACCACCCAATCCCGATCCCGCTGCCGCCACTCCGTTGGCCAAGGATCTGCGGGTCGTAAACCATTGCGGCACGATGGCGACACTAGGCACGAAGATGAAGCCCATACCGAGGCCGAAGAGAATGCCCTGGGTAAGAAAGAGATGCCATATTTTCTTGGCTAAGCTTGCGCAGATGAGACTTGCGGTTTCGAGGGCGACGCCAAGGAAAAGAGTGGGTTTTGTGCCGACTTTGCCGACTGCAACGGTGGCGATGGGGGAGATGAGGAGCGCGCAGGCGATGCTGAGAGACCCGATGAAAGCGAATTCCAGAGAGGTCGCTCCCGGGTAGGTGTCTGTTCGAAGGTAGTGGGCAAGGAAGACACCATAACTCGAATTGAGGCCCCAGGTATGTGCATTGACGACGGCGCAACTGATAGCGCAAACCCATCCGTATCCGCCGTTGGGGGGTTCGTCACCCTTTTTGCCGGCTTCAGGTGAGTTCTCCAAAAGCTCGCCGGATACGGCGGCTACCTGTGTATGTTCACTTTCGACATCCGAGTTTCGCTTGTCTTTGTCCTGGCGGAACATGTTCACGACGTCAGGAGCGAAACGACAGGAAAAGGGAAAAAAGAACAAGAAAAATCGAATGAGAAAAAGAGCAAGAATCAGAAAAAAAGTTCCGTAGCGTTGAGTAATCAGTTGATGCCCGCCGACGCTAGCGCATGCTCCAAATGCTTGGCCCGAACCGACTTCGGCCGTGACGGACCCCTGTCCATATATATATCTGTTGTGGAGCAGAACGTGTGAAGGGCATCGTCGATGTCGTCGGCTCCCTGCCTCCTCAAAGATTGGATCGTCGACTTGGGGGCAGCAGCAGGAATAGAATATACCTTGCCAATACGATAGTATCCCCCATTGAAATCCCTTTCCGCCATAGTCATCAGTCGTGCGAGATACCTCAACGGGAAATGATTTTCGGCCGAGAACGACCACCCCGACGAGCACAGGGTCCCTTGCCGAGACAGATTGCCGAGGTATCATCGCGGGCTTACTTCCGCCCCCGCCGGAGTTAATAGCTTTTACCCCACGCGCTAACCCTGTCCATTGTCGTTGCCCGCAACATTAATTGGACTGTTGAGGTCATCGATACGTCAGAGACAGTGGAGGTTGGGGTCCTGAACTTGTCGGCGATTAAGAGGATGAGCATGGAAGTGGATTAACTATTTCGGGACTGTCAACCGTCGAACGTTGACGTCGCTGAAGGTGATATTGAAACGTTTGTTTGACGTGAGTCATGGGAGCGTCAAGAAGCTGAAAGTGAAATAGATATTGTCCCTTGCACTGCTGCCCCTTACAATATTGCCCCTTATCCTCCCTTGCGCTGTCGTCCCTTGCATTTTGCTATCTTTGGATCACGGCGGTTCTCGTGAGTGCCGGTTGGTTCCTCGGAGACAAAGAAAGCAAAATTAGAGTGAGCGATCTTGTTTGTCGTTAATCAGAAAGTGGAGGAAGACGGTCCCTTGCTGCCCAAAAGATCAAGGCAAAAAGGATATCTCCAACAACGTAATCCATAATACGCAGTCACGTTGGCGCTGTCATTGCGTAAAGGCAGCTGAGCGCAGTGGCTAAACAAGGCTGCTTATGCAAAGTGACGCTGGTTTGGATACTAGGAGGATCTTTTTGCATTCATTTAGCCGAGCCGTAAGTAGGCCAATGTGTCATTTTGACTGAGATATCGTCCGACAATTTATTTCGCATCTTCACCATCAACAAGTTGGATCTTCGTCGTTCAGTTGCCTTTGTGGTTAAAGCTAGATATCCTTTTTTGACCAAGCACCCTACTTCACCTCTGCATATACCTCCAATGCATCATGCAACCGCCCAAAGACACCCTTGTGCCAGCTTGCCAGCTCCTCCCATTCACTTTCCGGTAGGGTCACGCGCATCATCCGCAACCACGCACCAACGATCATGTCTGCATAGCTAGCCCTTGTCCCGAGTAGAAAGGGACCACTGGTATCCCTCAAGAAGAGCTCAGCCAGGCCACCCAGCGTATTCCGGAACGAATCCTTCAGTTTGTCTCGCTTCTCGCCAACCAAGGCAAAGTCGTCCCAGCACGTAACACCCGCACGCCGGACAAATTCCGCCTTACTGGTCTCGGCAGTAGCTGGATCGAATGGAAATCCATGGGTCGTAAGCTGTACATATGCGGTGAAGGTGGCGTCGACATTCACATTGAACTTGGAGTATTCAGGATACTCACCACCGCGGCAATCCGACAATGGTATGAGCATTGCAAAGTCATTGGGAAGGACGTAGTTGAGCGTCTGAGGGGGGAAAAGGTCGCCCGCGCCCGAGTTAGGATACGTTTTCTGGAGGTAGACCGCGATATCGAAGGAGTCCCCTACAAAGGAATTCGTGGCGGGATCCTCGATAATAGGCAGGGTAAAGAAGTCGGTCCCATCGGCAAACTTGCGACAGGCCGGTACCTTGAGACCGCGGCGGACTTTCGCAACGTCGGGTAAAGGCACCCACGACGTCGAGTATGGAAGACCTTTGAAGTTGAGTGCTAGCCGGGTTTTCCAGGGGTTTGGCGAGCAGCAGGTTTTCTCTGTTGGGGGACGCATGGCGATGTCATAGAAGACGATCGCGGAGGGTGGGCCTGAGGTCGACGGCATGGTGAATAATGAAAGTGGAAGACTTTTCTGCTACGGGATAGATGCTGCTATATATTCTGAGATGGGAGTAAAGTCGAAGATATCAAGCGATTGATTTATGTTATCGGGGCGGTGGCGAGAAGATTTTTCGCGATCAAACTTCGCCGCAGCTGAAGCGGGGAGGAAGGCAAATCTAAAAATCAAAAAGCCATTCAACCTCTTCGGGCGTCTAATTTCACCTGCATAGACTCGTGATCAAGAATCCACAATGTCTCCACATTTTATGTTATCGATAACGTAAAAAGTTTCAGCTTTGCGCCTGTCCAGCTTCTTTGTATGACCCCGGATGTAATATTGAACTGACAATAGTAGCCACTGGAAGAGTCACGGTCCGGTATAAGTTCGTAGGTTAACGGGGAGAAGTTGCACCAGATCTGAGACCATTACTATGTACAAGTAGACAGGGTCCATTTTCCACTCCCCATATTCGAGCAGTAGCGGCTTCTTGCCGTCATCCGGGTCCATCACCGGGGGCCGTCAACACCAGGAGCGCGGTGCCGCTGCTTCTGTCGCTATTAATAATCCCCCTGGCGGCGTTGATCGCGCAAATATGCATTACGCACCCTGGTTCCCCGACTAACATGTACATTCCGACGCAAACCAATACCTGCGACAACAACTCCTAGAAAAGATCCCCGTAGTAAGCCATGTTCTTGGTGTCGTTGCTCATCAGTGTCACAGCTGCCAATTTGCCAAACATGCCGTCTTTGATCGCTGGGGGATAGTTCAACAGGCGCCATGCGTGACAAGTAGCTGCGTTGGGGAGGCAGGCTCTCGTCCATACCATTGCACAACTAGGAAGTGTCAGAATTAGCCACATGCCATTGGCCTAGACCATCCTCCCCCCTCCCCGCATTTGACCTACCGCTATGCTGGTATAAATTACCATTGTGAACAAAATCTGGGAGAAGGGTTCGGTCCTGGTCTCAACGGCCGGCAAGTCTTTACTGACTCTGTTGATCAGAAAAAGTTGGCAGCAATGCAATACGAGAGAGATGAGACCGGTTGAAGTATAGAGATATCCGGCCGCCAAAGACACTTCGACTGCGCCAGCATTAGAGCAATGCGGCCCCGTGGTCCCCTGTGGTACTGTTAGTGCATCTTAGGGAAAGAAGGAAGAGGCTGAAATATCCGTGCTTCTCCTACCCCCCTCACGCTCCATAAAATAGCTCTAATATCTTATTAAATCTTACTAACTTTACTAAGGACTTAAAAAGCGTTCTACTTTAACAAGGAGCCCAGAACTTGAATACTATGGCTTTGTAGTGTTAACTACTATACTTTAAAAGTATTTATTTCCCCCCTTCCTAACTGCGTTTTCATGTCGAGCAACTTCGGAACTACCTGATAGGCAAGGGAGCGGTCACCTATTAAAGTTTTCCTTCTAAAATAGTCGGTATGCCGGGGGCCTCAAGATGATGTTATACGACATTTCAACACCACCTGTCGCACTTGGTCAATTTCTTACAATTTACGGGCCACATGTGCACACTCTGTAATATAACCCCGCTTTTGCTCAGCACAAATTCAGCACTGCCCAGGCTCGGCTCAGGTTCGGCTCCACTCACCCAACGATGCGGTGGGATGCTGTCTACCTGGCCAAATGAACCTCAAAACGGCAAAATCTTCTCCTGTATGCATCCAAGGAGTCTCCTCTACATCTTGTTGACAGCCATCGCCATCACCATCACTATCACTATATATTCTCCATCATGGTGGCCATGCACCCCCAGACAGAGTCTCTTTTCTTCCGCCTCCCTGCGGAGATCCGCGAGAAGATCCAGAGATTTGCCCTCGCCCCCCCGGATGAGAACGATCTTTTGATGACGGAAATCACTCAATACCCCGAAGTTCTCTTCCGAACATACGAACAACCCCTACCGCCAGTCATGTGCACCTGCAAGAAGATGTACATGGAAATGAGCCCTGTCGCCTTCAGCGAGATCATCGTCCACGAGTCAACCAAGGGCTCCGGCACACGCACCGGCATCAAGTGCCACGGCACTTTGCGATTCGAACGACTGCGCCGTGTCTCAATGGTTGTCGCCGTCGAGAATCCCGACTTCATCTCCCCCTCGTGGGAACTTTTCCTATTCAACCTTCTTAAACGTAGCCCCAACGTCGATCACCTGGATATTGAGTTTCATAGGAACGAGTTCCGGGAGAAGGTGGAACGCGAGCTACCGGCCGCGGAAACGCGACGTCAGAATGGCGAGGAAGAATTGAGAGACTCATTCATTTTAAAGCATTATGCATGGCCCAATTGGCTGGAGGAAGTTGCTCGACAGCCTAGCCTGAGATGGGTCAGCTTTGAAGGGAATGTTCCCGAGGTCTGGCTGGAGAGGCTACGTCAAGAATCTAAAGGCCGTATACAAGTTTTTAGTGATGGGGTTCGGTTCAGGGAGAAGGAAGATGAGACTACGAGGAGGATGCACGCAAACGATGAGCAAGTCGAGGCATTTGCAGAAATGGAGAATGCTTCGGTACGTACTGTTGGTCACGATGGGTCAACCAGCCCTCATGGCCACGGCGATCATGGACTCCAAACCCCTGAGTTTCAGATTGTATACTCTAGAATCGATTGATTAGTTCCCTGCTCTGTAGCCCTACAAGCTTTCGATGAACGACTTGTACAGCTTGGTGAGCTTCTTTTTAACCCGGAATACCAGTAATGTCGAACCAGCTCAAGTTTACCTGCCCACTTAACGAAATGTTGGCCAGGCTTCGCACTAACTGCCAGGAGGATATCTCAAGCTTGGCCGCTCAACTGACACATTCAAACGACCGGATCCCCGTCCGGCTTTCCACTATTCGCCGCGCAGGTCTCCGGGACGAACTTAAAACCATCGGTGCAAAACTCTTTACGGTAGAAAGTGCGATGAAGCTCCAGTTCCTCCGCGAAGGGAGCGCTTTCAGGGCTGAAATCGTCGCCCAGAGAGGATTTATCACCTTCCCAGTCCGTCCTGCCCACGCGAGTGGCTGAACTGCGCGCATTGCAGGCTGTCCATGGGGTTGCCGAAGATGTACCTCCAGTGCATCCTGCGCATCATCTAATTCTTGCTTGGGAAGGCTAGCCACGTCGTTTAGACCGCTTAGATCTAGATCGCGGGATGATAATCGCGTTGACTGCTACTGTGTGGGGATGGAGCGAGGAGGCGGTCGAATCGACGCGCAAGGTGCCTGAGGTGAGTTTTACTTGCCTCCGGGGCCAGGACGTAGAGAAATTCGATCTTAGTGTTCCCAAGTTCTAGAGGAAAGCTCATCCATGGCTCTATCTAGGCGGTCTTACGCCGCTTTACTTCGACTTACCGAGCCTGGAAGATCAGAGGATAATAACCGACGTCTAAGCGAGTCACTAACCCCGGTCCATAATAGCGAGCCCATCTCTGAGGGATTTTCTTAGCCAGTCAGTTTTCTCTCCTAGGGGCGAGGTGATAATATGGAGCAATGCGAGCTAATAACAGCACTGAATTCGGTCTACGAGGGCCTCACATTCTACCAAGCATAACCGTTGTCAGGCCAGTGGAAACTTATGATAAAGACTGGAGATGATGTGTCTTTCCGCCAGCAAGTCTAGAAAGTAGAGATCTAAAAAAAGGGAAGGATCCACGGCATTGTTGCAGAAGCGCTGGCATGAGTTGTGCTCGCTGTTCTATGTTGGGTTTATCTCAGGACTTGAGTGGCAAATCGAGCACGCCTTGGATTGGAATACCAGATCAGGACACTCTGTTTCCTGGAACAATTTTGAGTATGAGTGTATGTGCCTGTTTTAATTGGCCATCTTGTTGCGTGACTCTATCCGTCTGTCTTGCCTTGGTGTTTGGTTGGTTGGGGTGCGACATTCATGATTTAGGCCGATCAGGGATGTTGTCTCCTCTGGCCATTGGGCTGTCTCTAGCCCGAAGGGCACGCGACATCTAATGATTTTGTTATGATATGGCTTTTATTCATTGTTTATGCCCATCTGTCAAGTCGTAAGCTATCGCGTCAGCTCAAGGGATTCGCCCTTCGCCAGCTCCAGTGGGCGCCATTACTTTGTCGCCTCACAAACTCTCTGCATGATGAATCAACAGATCTGATCCATGAACTCAAGTGTTGGGCATCGATTGCAGGGCAGACAGCGCAGCTGAGGCGACGTGTTTGACTTGACAGCTTTGTTTTGCTGTGGGCTGGCCGCAATTTACGCCCAATCATGCCAAGTATCGACCCGCCCTGTTCTGGCCTTTAGGATGCGAGCCCAAACAAACGCCCCGGCGCCTTTTTGGCGCCAAGCGCCCGACCGGTATCTCGAGTTTCGGTCTATAAATCCTCGATACCCTGCTCAGGTTTTCATCGACATTTATCTCCCAAGAGGCATCTCTCTAGTCAATCTCATTCCCAGAACCACCAAGTATCACTTCCGCAATAGAAAATCCGACCGCATCCACACCCCCACCCAACCCAGAAGCAACCATGTCTCGCGTCCAGCCCTTGAACACCATCTCCGAGCTGCACAATTTTGTCAGTGCGAGGCCCTTCGTCGTCCTAAAGGCCACTGTTCCACGATATGAAGGTGATGCCAACGACCGATCCATCTTCAACATCGTTTCCACCGAATACCCAAATCTCTCGTTTGCCGAAATCGACCTCCAGCGCGCCAGGGAGTTTGTCGGCATGAATGGTGGAGTGCCGGCACCCGGCTCCATACTACTCTTCAGACAAAGCGAACTCGACGAGGTGCACCCCGTGACGGCAAGATGGAAGGACTTCCTCGATGACTTCTCATCTTACGCCGCTTCTCGCCGCCGATATTAACATACTCGGCAATTGGAGCCGCCGCAATGATCAGGAAGCAGTGTGAGGAGAGGAGATGGGGAGAGAAGGAATTCGTTCGTTCCCAGCAAGTCAACAAAGGCATGGAATTTGTATTAGGTACTTAGGCAATTATAAGAAGGCATCATTTCAATACTGCGTGTCCTGCTGTTCCGAACGTAGTGGTGTAAGTTTTTCTACAACCTATTACCATCACTCACTCGTCAGTCTCATATCGACCACAGTGTAGTTCATATTAAATGCCAGCAACGGATAACGAATGAATTCTATTGGGCTGGTGAGCCTCAAAAATACTCCAAGACAGCGGATCTCGGTCACGAAATCATCAATTTCAATGGCGTGGCAAAGAGGGGTAACAGGCCATGTGACTAAGAGCCACATCCCATAGTTTATAGGGCAGGTTTCTACAGCAAACCTTACGATGCAATATGTCTCAAGCATTCCGACCGCTTCCATCCCACCTAGACCGATAAGGCTTACCTTCACGTATTACATATTAAGATGTTACCCGAGTCCCGTATTCTTCCCATTCTTGACCATGTCGTTATCTTGGTATCCTACAAATCCCTCCAAGAGCTACCCGAGATCTTGGAAAACTCCCTCACAGTCATCGAAGGTGGCTCTCACGCCGACGGCCGTACGGTGAACAAACTCGTCATCTTTTCTGACGGAAGTTATATCGAGTTCATTGCCTTTCGGGACGGCCTCGACCCAGAACGTCGAAAGGAGCATCGGTGGGGATCCTTAAAGGAGGGTGCCATCGTCGACTGGGCCTACACACTTGCCGATGTGAAGGAATTTTCTGCCGTGCAGAAACGGGTTGAGGATGCAAACTCGGAGACAGGATTCAGATACCACGACCCAGTTCCAGGCGGCCGTATTCGGCCGGATGGGGTAGAGTTAAAGTGGGCCATCAGCTCCGTACTGGATGCTTCAAAGGCTCCTCTTTGGCCCGGCACCGCTCCTTTTTGGTGCCTTGATATCACTCCACGGCATCTGCGGGTACCCAACCGCGGAAAAGCAACTGAGACCGCGCCCTCATATACGAATCACCCTTCTCACGTCGTGGGCGTCTCTCAGATCGTGGCGTCTGTACCCGGAGACGAATTTTCCTCGATTAGCAAAGTTTACAACGGCATTCATGGGCCTGCAGTAGAGAATGGTTCTGAAGTAAAAGTATGGCGTTGGGTCGCTCACGCAGGTTCAAAACAAGGTAAACAGCAGGTGTCTCTCAGTGTGACCCCCCGCCACGAGCGGTATATTAGCCTTAGACTTGTTGGAAACGAGGACAGTCCTCGAAGCATTCATATTCTTCCTGATCTAGCCTTTGAGGTTGGTGAATGAATCACTGAAAGCCTGTCGGAATATATACTTTTCCGGCTAAATGAACATTGAATATTAGAAGACAAATAGGTGCTCCTAATACAAGTGATGGATCTTAAGAAAATGCGGAAATTAGGGAATTAAGGCCCTTGTATGTATCCGACCCACCAGAAAGCATAAACAAGTTGATAGAGGTCAACTCGTTGTTCGGGAGCTTCGCCTCTTCGTCCATAATAACGTTGGGCTAGATGCCAGGCTAGTTCTTGTAAGTACTGGAAGGAGGAATCATCGATATACCCTATAGAACGTGTTCAAATCGGGCCGAGAACTCAGAGCCTGCGATTTATGCCCGAAGATCCTCCCATACCGAGGAGACGCGCTTTGCCTTGTATGAGCTCATTGATCGAGACGTAGATGAGGAAGCCGCCCAGGGGACTTTTAGGAGATATTGCATAGGGTGCGCGAGTGTCCTTTCAGAGAGGAGTTTCGTGCGCAGTCATACTAACGGCTTGCCGTTTTGATTCAGGGCGCTGGAGTTGGGAACTTGATAGCTTTGATAAGGACAGCTGAGAAAATGCTCTCAAGTGTTCGTCTTATCATGGGGGATGGGCAGTCGGCCATCAACAGGCCATGGACTAAATGATTCACGCTACTTTGAAGGATGCTCGTATAGTTCGTGGGTATCTTACAAATAGATTAGTGTGAAGGGAAAACCTCCAGGAACCCTAGTCAAATGAGCTCGGGCAAACAAGTCTAATCCCTTGACCCCACGAAGCTCCTAGTTAGTAAATGAAAGCCCGTCTACATATCTACAAGCTGAATAAAACTAGAGTGAGTCGCGGTAGGCTTGTGATATAATTATTACTAATAACCTCGGAATTCCTAACCTGCTTCCGCTACAATATGTCGTGGAATGGACAGGGCGGTTTCTTGGCTGCGGAGATCGGAAGTCCCGGTCCAACCCTTCTTGGCGGAAGAATACGTACCTTCTCAACCAGGTGGGCTATCTAGATCGAGCAAATACTGACATTAGGGAGGGACAAGGGAGCGTTATACTTTCGCAAACCAGCAGGATAAGATTCTCTCTTATAAAGAACGCTGAAGTTTCCTGCAGGATTCAAGGAAGTGGCGAAGGCCTGCAGGATGGGTCGCACATCACTCAAATTTCTAGGACCCATGATCCATCTACCATAGCTAATCGAGTAATTTCCCGCACCCGTCCCACTCCGTCGGTGCGGCTAGTGCTCCCGGGTTTTACTATAAATATATGTAGCACAGGCCAAAGCCATTGGAAGCTAAATTCGCAAGAGAGCTATATTCTAGTCTTCTCTATCACCGAGACAAATTTATCTGCAGACATAGTGGCCTCTGCTTCAACATGACGAGCCTGGAATCGAAGCTCACAACGCACGGCTTCAAGTTCCGCAACTGGCCTGGCCCCGGTGAGCAAGCCGCCGCCCAGTTCGGCCTTAGCCACGCCGTCATCGTTCCCGCCAACACGCGGACCGTGATTATTGGTGGCCAAGTGGGAGTTAGGGACGATGGAACTGTTCCGTCAGACTTGGCCGAGGAAGTCGCGGAAGCTTTTGACCATGTCGAGAGGGCTCTGAAAGCGGCCGGTCTAGGTGACGATGCCTGGGAGCACGTCTACTCGGTAAGTTGTTTGTGTGGGAGGATTCCCCGCACTTGGACAGAGAACTGACTCGGTAAGCTGGAAAACTAGATGACTACATACGAGGTTGAGAAGGATGGCCAAGGAATCGCCGGTATTGTTGTGCCTATTGCTCGGAAATACCTCAAAGCAACTAGACCCGCATGGACTGGTATTACAGTGAAGGGTCTTGTCTTCCCCAGTCTGCGCCTAGTAATCACTGTCCAGGCGTACTTACCTAACTAGCTGGAGGCTCGACGTGATATAGTTCGGCCTAGAGTTGCATATATGGTATAAAATTAGCACTTCCCGTAGGGTGGCAAAGATTTAGACTAGTGGAAATTAAGAACCTAATATTAGGAGCTCTTTCAGGCCCGTGATGAGGGTTTAATCGTAAAATATGCCAGTAGTTCTTGCATGGAATACGATGCCGGTGGGATGCGGTCTCAGCTGAACGGCGTGATGTCCCAGAAGAAGTAGAATTTCAGATGGAGGTTATCATCGTCGGATGCTGAACAGTGGACGCGGTGGGGAAGGAGTGAGGACGTATGCGCCTCGCTGTGGGGGAAGGTTCCATTTCGAAATGAGGGATCTCCTGCGCGAATGCGGAACCGGCCTCCCAGTGCCTCTGGAGCTCGAACAGGATTGTATCGTTGCTCCGGACTTGAGGAAATGCGGCTGCATCACTTAACTTGGTCGGCTCCCGTCATAATTTTTTTCTTTTCGAGATGAGGTTCGGATGAGGTCCACAAAGATGAGCAAGAACCTGAGGTTTGCTTTTCACTTTACTGCATTTGGTTCCACGTAGATCAGTGCTACCCACGATCCCACGAGTAAAGTGGAGTTGCAGGATCAAGAAGTGCAGCGATGTAATTCTGGAGCCAAAACTTAAGGCCTATGTGCAGAGGAGGGATGGCAGCTCGGTTGAGGCGTAAATTTGCAGCGCCGTCCTTAGGTATTACAACGGTGTTCTCACCAGGTGCAAGCAACCTCCTCATCAAGGCGCCAAATGGCACGTGCTCTAATAACACCACGAGTAAACCTCACGCATCTTATGGCATGTCTCGTGGCGTCTTTGATACTATCATCCATACCTTGCTTAGCCCCCAAATGGTACAAAATACACCCTGAAACGTAGCTCGGAAATGTCGGAATGAACAACTGGATTCGTCTCCTTTACTCGCCCTCCCTCACGGCAGAGAGCACACAGCCGTCTCCCGACTCGAGTCTAGGCCATTTCCCCAGATACGCCACGCCAATAAGAGCATCAGAATTGTGAGATCTACCTGACCATGCGCCTTGCTGTCTCCACTTCCCCAGGTGGTGGCATCGCTCGCAACGCTGCTATCTCGGTAACGTGCATTGTTGTTGTTGCTGTTGGATAATTCCCTGATTGGCTCATCCTCACCGGGGTTCGATACGCCCATCCACCGATAACCATTATGATGGGTCCTTGATATCGCCCGAAAATAACATCTGCTGTGAAACGGGGTATAGTACGTTGACCGCCGGTCCTCCCGTTGATTCTGGGTCTGCAGAGAACTCGCCTCCTTTGCCCGCGTTGCCTGTCGTTAGGCTTGCACGGCTGTTTACTCTCTTAGTAACTCCCCGGCAACGCAAATCCGAGTATTCCAACACAACTACGACAACCTTGGCAAAATGGACCTCAATGTCGAGAAGCCGCAGAACGACGATGAAGCCCGCCTCGCCATGCTGGGCCAGAAGCAGGAAATGGGCCGCCACTTCAACGTGTGGTCGCTGATTTTCCTCGCCTTCTGCACCAGCGCCTTTCTTAGAGGCCATGAATAATAAGCCCTTTCGCCGTTGGGATCGGCCCCACTTTTAAGGAGCAGTTGGACTAGTTTATAGTCTTCGTACTCGATTGCATGACTGAGCGTACAAAGTCCACCGAGAGCGTTGACATCTGCACCTTTTTCGAGTGGCTTATCGACGTCGCGTCGGCGTTCTGCCGTGAGAGAGCACACGTCCTGAAGCTAATTGCCACCTGCAAAGGAGTGTATCCATTGAAAGCCGGGCCGTTAACATCGGCGCCTAGTTCTAAAAGAAGGTCGACCATGTCGGCATTCCCATTTTTACATGCGATTTCAAGGCAAGTTCTACCATACTTGAAAACTGGTCTTGCATTGACGTCGCTACCGGCGTTGACAAGAAGGCGAACTAGGTCGATGTCACAGGACTCGACGGCTGCCTGAAGAGGGGTTCGACCGCCTCTGAGAGCGGGACGGGAGTTGACATAAGCTCCAGCATCAAGCAAGACCTTCACGAGAAGCTCGTTACCCGATTTGGCTGCTGCCAGCAGAGCAGTGTAGCCTCCCCCGTAGGGGGGGGGGGGGGGGGGGGGGGGGGGGGGGGGGCTACTCACATGTGTTGCGCTTCGTGGCGAAAGTCTTACCATGTTGAGTTTCTTGGGGCCGCCAGCAGCAATCTGCAACGCCGTTCCTTTAGATTCCATAACATTAACGTCAGTTCTTAGATCTAGGAACAACCGGACTAGGGTTATGTTTTTAAGCAATACTGCCTCTTGCAGTGCGGTGGCAAGGTGGTTGCCTCTCTCGCCCCACCCATAGAACATATCCTCATCATCTGGGTCCGGATCGCCAACACCCACAGACCCGCTGCTGTCGGCCTGGGTACACCCCAATCACAGAGAGAAGTACATGTTTCCCGGAAAGCCGTTCACATCTGCTCCTGCCTCTAAAAGAACTTGAACCATTTCGATGTTACCCGCTCTCGTGGCATGTTGGAGTGCTGGGATGAAAAATGAGTAGTTGTAGTATGATGGCTTGCATACAGCGTTCACATCCGCGCCGTGGTCGATTAGCAGTTCTGCTATGTGTTTCCGTCGTTGGGCTCTTGATGTTAACGAAGTAGCCGAGAGCCCAGAATCTTTCGCTCCTTAGCAACCACGCAACTACCTTGTCAAGCCTCTCATCGGAAAGGAGATTATTAGTGGAGAGGTATACCGTATAGCCGAGCAACCGGAAAGCCTCAGAGCAGCCAGAATTGGCGTAGAAGTCTCGGATGTGTCGGCCGACTTCTCCTTTATCTTTCTCAATCGTAATGTTATCTAGATCGGACGGAAGTCGTGACTTGTGCACTGAGTCGTCGAGATCGACCATCCTCTCCCCTAAGCATTCACTGAAAAGCTGTCTAGCTTCTCGGATAGCTTCTTCCGACGACAACACCATAGCTGGGCTTGGACTAGACAACACCTGGCTCCCATCGAAGAGTTGGCCACGGGCTAAAAAAGGTTGGGCCATTCCGTGGACCGCATAGCCGAAAGTACTAGTGACCGCATCCATTCGTGTTGACGAGGATAGGGCATCGGAAAAGTCCATGATACTAGCCCCTATCGTCATACCTATCGGGCCAGACGGGATACTCGTAAAAGAAGAAACGCTTAGGGGACTTAAGTGTCCAACTATCCTTGGTCAGCCTCCGAGTCGATATTTAGTAATGAAATCCTGCTTTGTGGCCTATTGAATGATTCTAGTAGGTCCTGGAACTGAAACCATAGTATATTAAGACGATGGACCCCAGTTGGTGGTCCCGGAGTTGGCGTCCGAGCGATGACAACAACTGGAGCAATTGCGGCATCACCTTTGACAGAAATAGGGCGTGAGCATGCGTGATACAACGAGTGAATTTAGCGGGGACAAATGAAAAGCCTACCCGACTTTTCGCCAGCCCTGGATAACTGGCTGGCGTATCTCGTGGACTCATTCCTCAGCTAATTCGCTGAAATCAAGCAGCCATTGATCAGGACTTCGGTATCCCTCCCCTCCAGCTTACGTTTCTGGACTTGGAGACCAACAAATTCCCATTCCTCGCGAGTCGAATTCTTCTTCATTCCCCATTTCCCGAAATGCCGCGTATATTGCGACGGGCTGCTATGAGGCTAGAACTTGACTCTTGATGAAGCTCGGGAGGGGTATTATAACCGACGTATCACGGAATCCGTAATTCTCTTCCATGAGTTTCACAACCTCCTTCATCGTCTTTTTCTCAGTTTGATACAGAATAGATATCTGAGTCCTGTAAAACTCCTATTCCGATTGCGGGATCTCGCGAGGGGCGGGTATGGCTGGGTGGTTGAAGAGTTTTCTGCTCGTTACCCTTGTAGTGTGAAAGGTAGTAAATTATATACCCGTGTAATAAGATACTGCGTGTATATATAGTCAATGTGAACTCGATGGAGTGGATGTCATTGATGACGGTGTGTTTTATTTCAACCAACACCCCCGGTTAAGGCTAGAATTTGCGCCCAATTAGGGAAGTGGGTCGAGGACAGACCTGGTTGGCTTGATGTTATATGGCTTGCCGGTGTTGATATTGGTTGATGGCCAGAACTTGCGCTGGTGCTATCAAGTCAACCAGCCATTCTCGAGACACCTTTGAACTCTCAGAGTACTATAGCGATGATTAGCTTACTCCGCAGCCAGGATTTGCCATCGGAATAGCTCACTTGGTGGTGAGCCCCCTTGTATATTCTTGTTGGTATATGGCATGGGACTCACAAGGGCTAGAATTTGCAACAATATAATATATATTATGTGAAAGGGAAGTAAGCAATGGCGTCTCCAGGACCTTCTCAAACTATACTCCTTTGCCTCCATCGACATCGAACTTCTGCCCATGAGCGCCCTCTATGCCTGTCTCTGTTGATGTTATCATTGTTATTATTGGAGTGTTGATAAATATCCTGTCTGTCGTCATTATGTAGAACTTCCCTAAGACAAGGTCTTGGGCGAATTTAAGAGTATTAGGTACTTATTACTACTGAACTTATAGATGTATGTGAATACTTTATAAAAATATAAGAGAGTAGAGATAGATACTGAACTCCCTAGTATACCTGACCTGATGGATTTATGAAGGGAGTGAACTCAATCAAGAGTTGACTTAGTCTTCTATTATTAATATCCCTAAATGGCTGAAGAAATACTGCTGCTTGTCTAAGGTATTCTTTTTACACCCTGGTTGAGGAAATGCTATCTCTTTGGTGTTGATATTATTTGATATGGAAACTGATACTCCGAGCGAGCCTACAGGTAGAGTTCCTGAAACTCCCCATCTGTATAAATTAACAGGAAGTTCTCCCCGGGCCTCTATTATAGTGTCTAATTTACTACCACTTTGAACTCCTTAATAGCCTGCACTTACCATAGCGATTTAATTAGTTTCTGATCTTATACTAGCTTGCCTCCCTTATAACTATACTACTGCTTAGAGGGTATAGGGTCTGAGAACAACTTTCTAATAGCAATCATATCCTCCTTACTAAGACTAGACTCATATGCCTGTTTATATAGAGAACTGTAGAGTTGTATAAGTGGTATACTAATGTTTGCCTTATCTGCTGCTGCCCTGATGAGCTGAGTACTGTTGTAATAGTCCTTAATAGCTGTTTGTGTAGACTAATTATCTTCTAATATCTTTACTAACTTAAGCTTAGAGTAGGTAGAAGCTAGAGGGCTGCTATTGAGTACCTATCTAAATGCCTTAAGGTTTAACCCCTAGGCTTGGGTGAGGTTTATGGACTTAGCTATGCTAGCTGTTATAGTAATTAGAAAGAGGTTGACTGTATACTTAGTCTTAAGGGCCTGTCCAATAGGGCTATAGTATATGGTGGTGCTGGTTATCGGTTCTACAAAGGGCTTGATGTGCTCAGTAATAGTAGGATTACTAGTAACTATGCTAATGAGTTGCCTCTTCTCAGCAGGATCGCAACTACTACTAACTAGCATCTTGATAAAATTACTATCTGCCTGGTAGACCAGAGCTGCGAGTGAATGACTAAAGCTGATAGATATAGAGCTTGTGTTGACTAGTGTTTTCCCCTGAAGTGCTCTTTAGATATTGTTGTTAAGTATGGATCGAATTGCAGATTTGTTAAAGAGTATAGTGAAAATGATGTTGGACTTTTCAATTAACTTTGACGGATTTTTGCTGACTGTGGTGCCTGCTTTTGTTAAAGCTAAGTATTTTGAAGGGCTCTGATTCTAGACTGTTACTAGAAATTTCCGATAGAGGTTTAAGGCTATAGGGGCGCCTATAGTCCCTAAACCGATGAAGCCAAGGTGCATTCTGGGATGCAAAGACGAAATACGACGAAATACTGTGGCTGTGTGGTATATTGAGAAGGCTGCTGAGGTATAACTTTGCTGATGTTGTGGTTTAGGGAAGTAAAAATAATGTTATAAGTATAGTAGCTTATGTGATAGGTAGTTTTTTTATTTGCTCGGGTATTATTAGCTATAGTGTAAATGCCTCTTTTGGTCTTAGGATTAGGACTGGTGAGAGTATGCTAGAGTAGTTGCTAGGCTGTAGTGGGTAGAGTAACTAGTGTATCTGGTTGAGTAGGAAGATGCAGTCAGGGAATGGCGATTTTGCTTATGAGCAGGAAGATGATTTCGGTTTCTACTGAGGTATAGTTGGGGACAAAAAGTAAAGATCTGGTGCTGGGACCCTCCAGGCTAACTAAAGATCTGCAATGCCTCGTATTTCTCAGTGTCCTTAGCTCCTCAATGCGTCTTCTAGGTCTAATGGGAGATAATGATGGGAAAATTGGTGGGGGTAAGTTGAGAGAAGGGGTTTTTAATGGGCTATGTAGGAATTGAAATTGAATTGGAGTGTGGAGGCACTATCGCAGGGGCGTAATCTAGTAATATTGACCGCCGGTGCTCTGTGGAGAGTTAGCTTTACTATTGGCATGATTTGAAACCTTTTTAGTGTCTAGCTCTGTGGAGACCTGAGACTCGGAGCGAGTACGAGGTTGATTGTTATCA